TTCTCCTTTGCAGATCGACAAACCGTCATAACGGAATAACGTTTTAAGAAATGATGAAGTTTTTCTCAGCTTCACAAGTTGAAAGTAGGTTGAAAGTAAGTTAAAATCACATAAATCATTCTTTTTAATGAGAAAAATAATGAAAAAAATCATCGAGGCTTTTTAACAACATAACGAACAAGCTCCTTCTTTAGCAACAAAAAGTTTAACATTCTCTAAAATCTAAAGACATATTCCTGTTCTCTCGTTGAATACTGAGCAAATTCAGTCACATTTCTGTGTAAGAATCCATATGATGCTGCATCTGAATTCTTGATAATGCAGTTGTTTTTTCAAATGTTTTATTATTCAGGAAAAGAAGAGCGAAATAATAGTAACATGTGACTGGTACAGGTATTTTAACGAGTTGCCCCTACATGTAATCGCACGCGAGTTATTGTGGCATTTCTCGGCATCTTTATGGTGTTTTTTCGTCATCAAGCTCCTCAGATATAAGTAGAAGGTCCATTCAAACACTTTTATTCATCAAAGCATCCATCCATAATAATAACGTGGAAGAAAATAATTTTGTTTTATTTCTGCGGAAAACTTGATAATTCGGCGTTATTCCGTACGTTTATTTAAACTTCCCAGGTCAGCTGTCATGCCACATTCGCGGAGCGATCGCGCTGTCGCTATAGCGATCGCTGTGAACTCCCATCAGTCACGGCGTGACCGCTATAAAGTCACGCTCTCGCGACAAGATCTTAAGAAAGTCTTAATTTATTGAAAACTTTTTTCTAAGAGTCACGTCGCGATTTAACTATCACGGCGTGAACGCCATGTTTTCGCTATATCGCGACGCGATCGCTGTTGAGTCGCGAAGTCGCGGTGGAATCTTGAAAAATTCTTATCTGGCGAGAAGAGCAGTTTTTAAGAGCCATGGCGCGACTGTTGTGATCGCGAATTTTACCAGACGTACTCTGCTTAGTCGCGCCACGACTCTTGTTGTAACAAGCTTTTCTTCAAAAGACTTGCGTAGTCGCGTCGCGAGTCGCGATTTTTATCGCTGAGTTGCGATTTTTATCGCTGAGTTGCGGTCTAAGTAGAGGAGTTTTAAAACGTCGCGTCGCGAGTCTTGACTGTTCTGTGCTATACTTTATATTATCTTTCTGAACTTACATAACACACACATAGTGAGAAAAAGAAAGAACAGGTCACGTGTATGTGTGTTGTGCTCATGGTTACGTTGTTCTCTTCTTTTATCTTTAACCTATTGTATACACAACGTGTATGTTTTCTTTCAATAGTCATTTCTTTTTTGATATCGCAGTGTTAAGATCACTTTATCGTGTAGTCTATTGCAGCCATCTACTGCTTTTTTTAATATACGATATCAATCTATCTTACATATATTTTGAGATCTAATTCCAGTCTCATGGCAAACCAGAATTGAAAAATATAGGCGGATACCGTTAGATCAACCGTTGACGATATTCTTGAAGCATTCACTTTCGAATTTGATTTTTCAAAATACCTTTTGACTTGGCCATACTTCAAAAAAATCATTTAGTTCAACTTTGTAACAATAGAAAAGGTGAAAGGACTACTTCACTTTCCACCAGATATGCTGTTCTGAAATAACTGTGTACTTGTTACGTGCATCATTTTCCGAAGAGTAAGCCGGTAAAACATGGTGCACTTAAGTGCCAAACTGGATGCTGACAAAGTATCTTTCCTCCCTGAAATGCAAACCTCTGATATTACTCTTCTTCTGCTGCTTATCTTTTTGTTTTACGCTAAAACGAGTATAATGGCGAGAATGAAAAAATTCGCCCCGCGAAAGTAGGACTCATGTAGCGATTATAGGAGTCACATAGCGAGAACAGTCTGTCGCGCTGATTTTTCTCCATAAAATGTAGGACTCATGTCGCGACATAGGGATTCCTATAGCGAGAATGAAGATTCGCTCTGGTTTAATGGATAGAAAGCGGGACTCATATAGCGACTTAGCAAGTCACGCCGCGAGTCTAGCGAAAGTATAGCAGAAATTTCACTTCATCGCGAATTTATAGCGATCGCGGTAAGAGCGTCACATTTAGCGACTAGACTGCTATTCGCGTGACGCGTTCACGTCGCGATTTTTGCAAGATAGTTGACTTGGGTCCACCTCAGCGTTTTTTTTACAGCCGAATACGCGCGTTGGATAGAGCGCAAAAAACTGCTTTTAGAGCAACAACTTGTTAAAGCAGAATATGCTTATTGTCTTACTAAAATAAGTTACAAAAAGTTTTCATGACGGAATAACATTCAACGAAGTATCACTTTAATAAATGCAAATAACTTTCTGAATCTGAGATAAAAATTGATTGTCTTGACTTGGTTAGACAACCTATTCAGCGCCGCTCCAAAAATTGCGACACCAGTACAAAACCACATTTTGTCTAGGCAAAAAATTAGACACCAAAATTTGATAAAGAATTTGCACGTCTGCCGCTTCTGAGTGACATCTGTATATAAGTAGTTTTTTCAAAAAAATCTGCTACACTAAAGTAAGAAAAAAATAGGCTTTTATATACTATCGACAGCGCCCTACGACTTGGTCATCTTAATTCTGCTTGATTTTGTGGTCACACTTCCCAAAGAAATCCACTGTTACATGGACTGGCTGTAAAAGATAAAAATAAATCAATGAAAATAAAAACAAACACAATATAAAAAATAACAAAAAGAAATCAGAAAAAAAACCGTAATATGAACAAAAATATGCAGCGAATGATAGATAATATAAAAAATAGCGCATAATCAACTTAAAATAAAAATAATCCTTTTTTTCTTCCTTTTTTCAGAGATCAAAGTTGGTATAGTCCACAGCGTATAACGCAACAAATGTAATAAACTATAAGAAGTTCGAGGCGAATATGAATGAACCATAAGCACGAGAATATGGTGGAATTGCAAAATAGACAGTGACTTCTGAAGTGCATTTGCATAACAAAAAGAACGTTCACATTGTCCAACAATAAATACGTACACTAAAATTAGTAATAAAATAGATCCACGAAAGCAAATGACAAAAATACGAACAACAATATTATTATTACTTATAACAGTCCTTTCATGATCATTCTTACTTCCATCACTATCACTTGCTGACGTTAAATTTACTAATTTTTCCGTTAACACTTTTGTTAAATTAATATGTTTAAAACATTCATATTTGCCACAACGAAGCTTATAACGTCTTTTTCTGCTTCATAGTCTCTCAACAGACGATCACAAACCAACCATTGACTTGGATTAATTCCACTTAAATCTGTTAAATTACAATATTTCTCTATTGTCATCATTTTTAAATGCATGAATTTACTAACAAAGTTCATCAGATTCACTGACATTCATACGAGGGATAATTAATAATAAGAGAATAAACAACAACAACATGATAAAATTTCTTGTTTAGTGCAATAGCATTTAGTGACAACTTTTGTTTTTCGCACTAGCTATACAGTTAGATAGTACGTCTATCTATTATTCCTACATATACTGCCTGTGTAAAAATTTGGTTTAACCGACGTTTATATGGATCTTAAAAGGTAAACAGCCTAACATACAGTGCTGGAAAAAATTATCGAGTCACTGTATTTTTGAATTTTTTCGATGAAGCCAAGCAGCTAGGTCAAATCTGAATAGTGATTTGGATGGTCCTTGAAGTTCTCCATCAAATACAGTATACCTCAAAATTTCAGAAAAAAGATTTGGAACAAAGTTGTCTAGAAAACCACTCCGGCGGAGCTCTAAGTGTGACAGAATTTTGCTAAAAATATTTCCAACATAGCCATCTAGAAGAGCATAAAATTCTGAAAGAAATGAAGAGTCGCACAGCTCCCACGATCTTCCGTTGCAAAGTTACAGACATCAGAAAATCCAAAGAAATGTGCTTCTGCTTGTTTTTTAGGCGATTTTTAGCGTGTTTTTCGTAAACTATATTTCTTTGGATTTTCTGATGTCTGTAACTTTGGCAAAACCCTCTAGGACTTAGAGCTCCGCTGGAGCGGTTTTCTAAAAAACTTTCTTCAAAACCTTTTTTCTGAAATTTTGAGGCATACTCCATTTGATAGAGAACCTCAAGAGATATCCAAATCACTATTCGAATTTGATCTAGATACTAGCCTTTATTGAAAAAATTCAAAAATACAGTGGCTCTATAATTTTTTCAATAAGGTCTCAAATAAGTTTTTATAAACTTTAGATGAACTCATTTCGTCTCTCACTACGCCGCTTTATAGCCATATACATCTCCTATTCCTTAAAAATTCTAGTAATTTTAGCCAGTATAATGTAAATGAATTATCTTCTACTGACACCACCACTTAATGTTGTAAGTGTTGTAGCTGAGGCAACAAAGAATCAAAGTTATTCTTATTTTATCCAAAAAAACCATGTGCAATGTTTATTTCACTCATAGACTCTGTTTCATCTCATTAAATTCAAATCAAACATAATTTTTGGAAATGAACTGTTTTCGATAGATGTAGAGAAACAGGCGAGTTATTCTTATTTGCAGAGACTACAAAAAGTCGGGTATTTCTATTCCTAACATCCTCCCCCTCCCGGATTAGAAATGTCAACCTTCATCAAAATATTGATTTAGCGAAAAGTACATGCGTTTAATAGCTCAACGTATCTACTTTCTAATGGTGTACATTTTTTGTCGCTACAAGAAGTTCTGAACAATTGTTTTGTGTTGGTCTCGAAAATGATGTTCATATACGAATAGTTCCGATACCATAGTTCATATACGGATGTTCATTCATAACTATGACTATGACGAAAAAAATCTCTCAGATCAAGTCATATCCAAAAAACGTTTCGATCAAGCAAGTCAAACTTGGCTTGCCCAGCTCTGTTACAAGTGATAGAAAATAATTTGCTAATTTTTTAATTCATGCTATTTAATTCATGTCACACAATGAAATTACACATAGAAAACAAAATAGAAGCTTTTCAAAAACATCCTTTTAAGCAATCGAAAGATAAATACGATGTTTTCCAGTTGTATTCATTTCAACTTTGTCAACACGAAAATTTGTACCAGCAACTACAAGTACGTCTTCATCATCTGGATGATATGAAACGGGTGATATGTCTATCGCATTTCCAAATCTAGGACTTTCTGTTATTGTTATAATAAATAAAGTATTTCCTTGAAATTGTTGTGCTTTAGAATGATTTTTGGTAGTTAAACGAAATCCATTCCATGATTTCCAACCATTTATACTATTCCTATAGCTTTCAATCATTTGTCGATCAAGCTCGTCTACACGATATATTGTTCCTATATATGATATATGTTCAAATGCTTCAGGAAAACAACTTAATAAAAAACAAAATGGACCAAGTGTATCTACATTAATCATATTATCGTCTGCCAATGTTTTATTAACATGTCTATAAAGAAATGTGTCTTGCGTATATATTTTAACACAACATTTAATAATATCGTTCTTTTGAGATTTTTTTACATTTCTTAATTGTTTGGCAATCAAGTTTGCTTCACTCTGTTCGCCAAGTCTTTCTGCATATGTAATAATTCCAATGGCAGCTTTTTCTACTATATTAGAATAATCACTTTGGCTATTTATTTTATTTTTAATTAACCATTCATTAACAAATCGACTAAAATGAAGATCTTTAAAGGAAGAAGCTTTGCCCGATGGTTGTGTAGTATGACTATTCGTTTGGTTAATTTGTGGAATTAATACTCTATTTATAGGTCTTTGTTTAGTGTTATCAAATTTACTAATTTGAAGTAGTTGTTGAAAATCGATAATATAATTTTCTAACTTAGTTTCAGTTTGATTTTTATTATATGCTTGTTCTATGATATCATTATCTCCTTTTGAATATGGTTTCCATTGTGGTGTTTCTGTTTTTGACCATGGATCCAAATTTGCATTCCAGTGCCATAGTACTTGTGTAGCGGATTGATTTTCAACAGATGCTGATTTACTAGCCATTATGAACTAGAAAACAAATACTAAACTGTAATAAGAACTTTTAACGCCTGTAAAGAGAAATATCTAAACACAAAAGGAAAATGTGTAAATAAAATTTTTCACTAATCCTTTCATCAATGGTTAAAAGATTTAAGGGGGGGTCCCCACTTTTAGATTTTCCTCTGCGCTCCCAGTTTGTGAAGGATACTTCGAAGTATATGTTCTGAAGTTTTCTCAGCTTACTTACATTATTTAGCTGAGAAAAAAATTAATTACTTAAAAAAATGTTGTTAAATTTTTGAGCACGGGGTTATTATTACAAAATTTTCTGTCTATTCTCCATTCATCATGAAAACTTAGTTCTTGCCTGGATCGATGGAGAAATGTGTGGAGAATATTTACGAGAAAATATGTCAGAATTTTTGTTCTTTCCTTCCGGTTATTGACTAATTAGTACTAATTAACGTTAATTTAGCCTACTCTACAAGTATAAAGTCTTATTTGTAAAACGGCAGCGCAACAAAAGAATTCAAGCAATACCTCATCTGACAGAGAATTTCACGGGCTACAATACAGTCTACCTTAAAAATTTTAGAATTCATTTTTGGTCGCTCGGTAAGTCTGATAAGTCCAAAATTTAACAATATTGTTTTAAATAATTAAATTTTTTCTCAGCCAGATAATTTCAGTAGCCCCAGAAAACTTCCGAACATTCACTTCGAAGCGTCCTCTACAAATCGGGAAAGCTTGAA